GAGGCAAGGATATACAATGGAAAAAAGACAACCTCTTGAACAAGTGGTGCTGGGAAAACTGGTCAACCACTTGTAAAAGAATGAAACTAGAACACTTTCTAACACCATACACAAAAATAAACTCTAAATGGATTAAAGATCTAAATGTAAGACCAGAGACTATAAAACTCCTAGAGGAGAACATAGGCAAAACACTCTCTGACATAAATCACAGCAGGATCCTCTATGACCCACCTCCCAGAATATTGGAAATAACAGCAAAAATAAACAAATGGGACCTAATGAAACTTAAAAGCTTTTGCACAACAAAGGAAACTATAAGTAAGGTGAAAAGACAGTCCTCAGATTGGGAGAAAATAATAGCAAACAAAGCAACAGACAAAGGATTAATCTCAAAAATATACAAGCAACTCCTCCAGCTCAACTCCAGAAAAATAAATGACCCAATCAAAAAATGGGCCAAAGAACTGAACAGACACATCTCCAAAGAAGACATACAGATGGCTAACAAACACATGAGAAGATGCTCAACATCACTCATTATCAGAGAAATGCAAATCAAAACCACAATGAGGTACCATTACACACCAGTCAGGATGGCTGCTATCCAAAAGTCTACCAGCAATAAATGCTGGAGAGGGTGTGGAGAAAAGGGAACCCTCTTACACTGTTGGTGGGAATGCAAACTAGTACAGCCACTATGGAAAACAGTGTGGAGATTTCTTAAAAAACTGGAAATAGAACTGCCATATGACCCAGCAATCCCACTTCTGGGCATACACACTGAGGAAACCAGATCTGAGAGAGACACGTGCACCCCAATGTTTATCGCAGCACTGTTTATAATAGCCAGGACATGGAAGCAACCTAGATGCCCATCAGCAGATGAATGGATAAGGAAGCTGTGGTACATATACACCATGGAATATTACTCAGCCATTAAAATGAATTCATTTGAATCAGTTCTAATGAGATGGATGAAACTGGAGCCCATTATACAAAGTGAAGTAAGACAGAAAGATAAAGACCATTACAGTATACTAACACATATATATGGAATTTAGAAAGATGGTAATGATAACCCTATATGCAAAACAGAAAAAGAGACACAGATGTACAAAAGAGACTTTTGGACTCTGCGGGAGAAGGCGAGGGTGGGATGTTTCAAAAGAACAGCATGTATATTATCTAGGGTGAAACAGATCACCAGCCCAGATGGGATGCATAAGACAAGTGCTCGGGCCTGGTGCACTGGGAAGACCCAGAGGAATTGGGTGGAGAGGGAGGTGGGAGGGGGGATCGGGATGGGGAATACATGTAACTCCATTGCTGATTCATGTCAATGTATGACAAAATCCACTGAAATGTTGTGAAGTAATTTGCCTCCAACTAATAAAAATAAATGAAAAGAAAAAAAAAAGAAAGGCCATCATCAAACAATATGTGAATAATAAATGCTGAAGGGGCATGAGAAAAGGGAACCCTCCTACACAGCTGGTGGGATTGTATACTGGTGCAGCTACAATGGAAAAAACAGTCTGAAGTTTCCTCAACAAACTAAAAATAGTTAGGGCAGGTTCTAAACTAAAAATAGAACTTCCATATGATCCAGCAATCTCACTTCTTGGCATTTATCTGTAAAAGACAAAACCTCTAAATCCCAAAGACACATTCACCCCAGTGTTCACTGTGACACTATTTACAGTAACCAAAACAGAGAAGCAACCTACATGTCCACTGACAGATGAATGGATGAAGAATACGTGGTATATAGACACAATTAAGTGTTCAGTTCAGTTCAGTCACTCAGTTGTGTCTGACTCTTTGCAACCCCATGAATCGCAGCACGCCAGGCCTCCCTGTCCATCACTAACTCCTGGAGTTTACTCAAACTTATGCCCATTGAGTCGGTGATGCCATCCAGCCATCTCATCCTCTGTCATCCCCTTCTCTTCCTGCCCCCAACCCCTCCAGGCATCAGGGTCTTTTCCAATGAGTCAACTCTTCGCATGAGGTGGCCAAAGTACTGGAGTTTCAGCTTCAGCATCAGTCCTTCCAATGAACACCCAGGACTGATCTCCTTTAGCATGAACTGGCTGGATCTCCTTGCAGTCCAGGGGACTCTCAAGAGTCTCCTCCAACACCACGGTTCAAAAGCATCAATTTTTCAGTGCTCAGCTTTTTTCACAGTCCAACTCTCACATCCATACATGACTACTGGAAAAATCATAGCCTTGACCAGACAGACCTTTGTTGGCAAAGTAATGTCTCTGCTTTTTAATATGCTATCTAGGTTGGTACTGTTTCCTTCCAAGGAGTAAGCGTCTTTTAATTTCATGGATGCAGTCACCATCTGCAGTGATTTTGGAGCCCCAAAAATAAAGTCTGACACTGTTTCCACTGTCTCCCCATCTATTTCCCATGAGGTGATGGGACCTGATTAAAAATGAATGAAATGATGCCATCTGCAGCAACACAGATGGACCTAGAAATGATCATACTAAGTCAGATAGAAAAAGAAAACATATAATATCACATATCTGAACTCTAAAAAAGATACAAATGAACTTATTTACAGAAATATATCACAGAAACAGAAAACAAAATTATGGCTACCAAAGGGAAAAGAGTGGGGGGATAAATCAGTAGTATGGGATTAATAAACACACCGCTATACATAAAAAAAGCAATAAAGATGAACTATATAGCACAGGAACTATATCCAATATCTTATAATAACCTATATGGAAAAATACTCTTAAAAAGAAAAAAAATACATATGAATCACTTTCTTATACACCTGAAGGCTGAAGCTAACACAATAACAAAAATCAACTGTACTTCATAGAAAGAATAGGGTAGATATAACACAGAACAATTATCCTTTGTTAAAAGCAAATATCAGTGTACTCTATGTATGGGAAAAATAGAAATCTTTGAAATGTAAATATTTCACTGGACTACATAAGAATGAGACAACAGAAAAATTCAGATATCACATCCTGTTTTCCTTAATTTGCACAGATTCTAAGATAAATTAACAAAAACATCTAAGGTTTACTTTTATAATATTTTTATTTAAGGAAACTTATGAGGAAATGGTAACCCATTCCACTATTCTTGCCAAAAAATCCCATAGACAGAGGAGCTTGGCAGGCTATAGTCTGTGGAGTCACAAAGAGTTACTTATGACTGAGCAATTGAGCACACATACACATTAAGGTAAATTAGATGCTATATATTGTATTCCTTTGTTTATCCTTTTATATTTTAATAAACACATTTTAAACTAGTTGAGAATATCCTGGAGTCCTAAATTAGACCACATTAAATTAGCAAATATTTATTGATCACTATGTTTAAGATCCTATTCTTTTAATTATAATGGTACTTGTTACATGGAAAACCACCAGGAGTTTGGGTTTTCTCAGTGATTTCCAGGAGGGAGGACTTCATCCTTGTATTTTTAATGCTAAACATCAATTTTAACAGAATCTAGTGGGGAGTTTTTCAACAGTGGTAAATATTTGTATGTGTATTTGTTTTATGTGCTATTCTGGTCTCTCCAGATAATTTCTATTTACTCTAACTTTCCCCACAAGTATTTATACTGAGATGCAGTGATAAAATATGGTGATCAATCATTTTCACTCTGAACTTTCGGAGAAAAAGCAACACTAACAATGCAAAAAAAGGCAAAAGTAAATATCTAGGTATTTTACAATAGCTTTTGATTTCAATTATTCAGATACACCTGTGACATAATGGCTTCTGTGTCTTCCTTGAGTCCTTTTCTGTAACAGACCACACAGCCAGCTCATACAAAAACACACAGCCTGTTGTATGAAAAGGCACATATCCTCAAGCAGGAGATATTCTGTGAACACTAGTTCACAGATCCACAGTGCTGATTTCAAGAAACATTCCTGGAGCATCTCTGATGTTACAGGCATTGCTCTATGTGCAGGGGAATGGCCTCTGCCTTCAAGGAGCTGACAGCATAGAGGAAAAATGAGATGGACCCAATCATAATAGTGTCACGAGTGAACACAGAATGTTTAGAAATCAGAGCTCACAATCACACAGTTGAGCCTTCTGTTATGAACTTTCTCTCTCAGTATTTGGTACATCTATACTAGGTGCTCAGGAAATACCCTTTTTCCTCCCATCTTCCATTTCTAAGTAGTTCATTACTTAGAATAAGTACTTACTTAAAACACTGCTTTCAAGAAACTTCTAGAGAAATTTGATGACTTTTTTTTTTTTTTACTATTTTTCAGTCCCATAGCTGATATCATTTTATTTGTTTATGATATCTCATTTGGCAATATCATCTTTCTTTGTACCATCATACTCAAGGATTATTCCAAGGTCGATGAGTTTATTCAAATAACAACAATATTACCTAAGTCTTAGTTTATCATGCCACTAAAATGTCAAGTTTAAAAATCACTCTACTTAGCCAGTCCAGTCTGCCTTCAGTTGTCTCTTGTCATTCTTCTTTGTATTAATTTCCCTTTTTTCTCCCTAATACTTTGCATAAATTTAGAAGACCACAGAGCTTTTGATTCGAACAGTAGAACTTACCTTCAAAGTCATAATTTACATCAATGCAACCTTATTACTCAGAGTAAAAGGAATGTGAATGCCCATAAGGTGAAAAGATATCAAGTGTTCTTATGTTAATAAAACAAACATTCTTTGTTTTTAAACATATGATCTTAACTTAGAGGAATATCCACTGCTCTATGCAAGAGGGACTAGCATTTGTAAAAAGTCAGTCCTGTCAAGACAGTCCCAACCAACTTTCCTCCTTGCCTACCCTCATCCTCTCAGCATTTCTAAGTTTCCCTCATTCAGCCTGCCCTCAGGGAAGCCAAGGAAAGATCTCAATGTCTGAATCCAAACATAACCACGAGAGTGTGACAACAAAGTACAAACATAACCCTAGCTGGAAATCACAACAGTTTCAGGCGCGAACATCGAATAGATTCACTGACCTGACGAAATGTCTATCTGGTTCATCTTGGTCTGTGTGACGTTGATGTGAACACCGACTTTGCTGTCAGTGAGGTCAATCTCCACGTTGCCCAGGTCATCCGCAAAATGACTGAAAAGCAGGAGACCACTGGGGTTCCAAGTCCTGAACTGGAAGCTAACCACAAACAGGTCCTGGTGAAGCCGTCCGGGCACCTCCAGGTAACTGGTAGCATTGAAAAAGACAGGCACTGTGTAGGGCTCCACACACGAGAAACTCAAATTTCCCTGAAAGACAGAAGGGCATGCTTTGAGGAAAATGGAGAATAAAACAAGCACCCATGTAAGACAGCTGACGAAGTGAGAGTTGCACATATTTCAAAATGGAGCTTGAGCTGTGTGCAGTCCCCATGTGCAGCCATGCGACACAGACTCATGTGTCCTTGAAAGGACACGTCCTGGCTGCCCTTTCTGCTGTCGTGAACAGAACCCAGCAGCTGGCCATCAGACTGAGGGGCTCACACAAGCACCTTGCGTCACAGACTCGACAAACTCAGGCCTGGTGTGATGGGCTGGCTATGGAATGGGTGCGGCCCTATGTGGTGGGCTTGGGAGTGGACCACTGGACTTTCTGAAGAAAGCAGAGAGCTGCTTCCCCCCACCGCGCGCCCCCCCCCCCCCCCCGCACCACTGATGCTGCATCAGCCAGGGAGGAGATGCCTTGGTCAATTATTTATTAATATATAAGTCTAGTCTCACTGGGAACTTTGATCTCTTGGTTGCTGTTTATTAAACTAGGATGGGGCAAATATTCTTGAGTCTTATCCACATAGCTAATGTACATAAATTAATATTAACTATTTAGTCAAACCTGTGGTTTTTCCAGTAGTCATGTGTGCAATGTGAGAGTTGGACCATAAAGAAAGCTGAGCACCAAAGAATGGGTGCTTTTGAACTGTGGTGTTGGAGAAGACTCTTGAGAGTCACTCGGACTGCAAGGAGGTCAAACCAGTCCATCCTAAAGGAAATCACCCTGGATATTCATTGGAAGGACTGATGCTGAAGCTGAAACTCCAACACTTTGCCTACCAGATGCAAAGAGCCGACTCAACTAAACAACAGATTATTTTCTTATTCAACTCAAACTCTCATTTACATTCCCATGAAATGTGCATATATCATAATATATTAATGCTTTCAGAAACAGTGACATGAATGTACAAAAGGAAAAGAAAACTTTCAATTAAAGCTTCCTCCTCCCCCTCATGCTTCCTCAATTTGGGACAAAGAAATTTGATTATTCAGATACACTGAATTTTATATTCTATTATCTAAGTACCTTCCTTTTAAAGATATGAAAAAAAATCTACATTTTTCACCATCTTTTTTTTTAATCCCACTATATCTTGAGGAATATGATTTGAAGGGATTTTTTTCTCTATTGATTCCTTAAACAACACCACATACTTATCCCCAGAGGCATAGTTCTTCTGTTTTAGTACATTAACCATTTAATCTAAGTTAGGCTGAGGCTGACCCCCCCAATTAATATTCAAATTAAAATTGTGCTGTACGTGCATGTGCATGCATGCTAAGCTGCTTTAGTAGGGTCCAACTCTTCGTGATCCCATGGACTGCAGTCCCCCAGGCTCCCCTGTCCATGGGGTTCTCCAAGCAAGAATACTGGAGGGGGTCACCATGCCCTCCTCCAGGGGATCTTCCCCACCCAGGGATCAAACCGGCATCTCTTATCCCTCCTGCATTGGCAGGCAGGTTCTTTACCACTAGGGCCACCTGGGAAGCCCTGTATCTTCACAGATGATTAGATGACTATTTTTAAAAGGCTTACTTATCCAGATGAAAAAAACTGCTTATGCACAAAAACTGACATGACATAACGGACTGCTTGCCTGTGTTGTGAAGACTGTCTCCCAGGAAAGTGAAAAGTTCTGAGTAATGGTGCTGATTCTGGAGTCAGCATTTAATGAGGAAATGGGTGTGTGTAAGGAGAACGGTGCAGGGTAAGTGCTGAGCCAATTACACAGAAATATTAGCACCTGACATCTTCAAAAGCAAATCTCCTCTGTAAATATTTGCCTTCGCAGAGCAACTTGCAAAATGTCCTGCCTGCCTCTACGCTGCCTAAACCTTTTAATACATGTGTTTATTTTTGTTTAAAAGCCTTTTTTGTGTCTGCTCCTTCCATTTTAACAAATGTAATTATAGATAATTCAGGCTTTTTAAAATGTCTTTGTTATTCAGGTTAAAATACCATTTATAAGCAACAATATATTGTGGTTGAAGCTGACTTTGGGATGAGTCTCCAGAGTGCAATTCTCTGTAGTTTGAGAACCTAATGGATACATGTGAGGACCAACTGGGCGGTTTAGGCACAAATAACACTTTACTTCTTCTTAAAGGTGCAAATAATGGGAAAGGTATTATGATGATTTGGATTCTGTATCTTTCTGTCTTAGGTGTTAATTTCTGAGGAAACAAAAGGACTCTGATGCCATTTTATCCAAAGCTTAAAATAACATATATATAAATACTGCTCTAGATAAGAAATGACACAACATGGAAAGAAGCCGTGACCTTGGGACTGAATACTGTGAGTCCACAATCTTTGCTTTTTCTAAGTTAAACCTCAGTTTTCATCTACAAGATATTTATGACAATATCTCCCCTGTAGTATAGTTCTTAGAGTATCATAAAGGTCTCACACAGTACCTGTTACCTATACATGGAGCTATTATTTTCCCCTACAGTCAATATCTTGTAAGAAAATTTCACCAAAGTTCAATTTTCAACTATTAGTACTAATTCTTCATTAATTTAGAAAGATAATTAGTAAAATAAAATCTACATTCAACTATTACTTTATGAGCTTCCCTTTATGACTCAACCATAAAGAATCTGCCTGTCAATGCAGGAGACACAGGTTTGATCCCTGGATCAAGAAAACCCACTGGAGAAGGAAATGACAGCCCACTCTAGCATTCTTGCCTGGGAAATCCCACGGACAGAGGAGCTTGGTGGACTACAGTCCGTGGGGTCACAAAGAGTTGGACACGACTTAGAGACTAAACAACAAATTATTTTATAGTTTCTTATATCCAACCAGAACTCCTCTTTATTCATTGGGCATTTCCATTTGTCCGCTCATTTTATGAAAACCCCAGGCTCAAATTTTGGATAACAAATCCATCAGAGTCAGAACATAGTACAAACACTCATGATATTTTCTACTCCCACTGACTTCCAAATACATGGATCTCTGGATTCCCAGGATCTTCCCAGTGACACTTTGGAACTGAAGAAACTCCTGTTCTTTCACAACCAGCAGGAACCCACATACCAGATTTATAAGTTTCTCTTATAGTAATCTTATGTGGTGTTGTAGGGAGGCAAATGTACTAGGGTGTTCTTTGATTTTTGCTCTCCTCCTTGAAAGAGTTTTGGAGAAGGAAATGGAAACCCACACCAGTATTCTTGCCTAGAAAATTCCATGGAGAGAGAAGCCTGGCGGGTTACATGGAGTCACAATGAGTATGACTTGACTGAGAGACTACACTTTCACTTTGAAATAGTTCAACATGGAAACACACACACCAGAGCCAGGACCACTGTGAGCTTCTGAGTCACAGGCTTCACTATCCAATCTAATCCATCTTTATTGAATTGCATAATATTTAGTATGTTTAGAGCTTTGACAAGAAGTGTATTTCTTTATATACCTGGGTGAATCAGCTTTGGAAACATGGAAAAAAATAATAAGACTCCTGGCTTTTAAGATTTTTAAATAGTGAATTACATTATCATCAAGAAATGTAGCATTCTATACAATGTGACATTTGGAAACATGGGGCTGCTGATTTAAGGGCTGCTGAACAGTTGGGATGACTGTCCTTCTATCATGGGAAATCTAGAAACTCTGGGGCTGAAATTCCAGGCCCCATCTGAAACAAACTTTCTATTTCCAGTAACTTTAACTCAAAAATCAGTATCTAGTCTTAGAGTACATTCAGTATCTCCATATTTTCAAGTACCTCTAAAATTAGTTTTATATGGTTGAGCCCACAAGCCTGATAACAAATGCTATGATATTGTTGTCCATTAACAGTCCAAACAAAACAAAATTTCTTTGATTTTTCTAGGAACCAATATTATGGGGATGGAAAATCTTACCACATTTGAGGGCTCAAGCTTCTTCCTTCTTGCCAGATCTGTTATGTTGATGCCATTGTAGTTAATGCTTTCCATGCAGCCTTTGAAATTCTTTCTACTGCTGGAACTTGGCTTTCCGGAGAAAGGTATGCCTCCAAAGGTTATCTTTGAGAAAAAGATAAAATGTAAACATTCACACTGTATTTGGCTTAAACAAATAAACACATTTACAATAAATTAGACAAAACTACTAACACAGCGAAAATCAGTTATTGTAACCTCAGCCAACATATATAGACATTTTTTCTGCCTCTAAAGTCTGTTGCATATTAAATTACGCTGTTATTGAAGTATATACTGATTGTATTAATTCTGAAAATTAGATTATATAAGAAAATAGCAACAATTTCTAGCATTTTTAAAACCTGGAAGGCATTTTATCAATTTTCCTGAGAATGTTCTAAAAGATTTTACACAGCAAGCATCTTTTATAAATGTTAAGCATATATTTTTATGCTTATCAAAGACATTATCAATAAATGTTACTAGTCATCATGAAATAACTAGCACTATATATATATATTAAGTTTATGGCTTCAGCCCAAAGGAAGAAATCTTGTATTCACCCTATTTAGACATTGTAGTCTAATGATCATTACAGTAAAAAAATTGTTAGGCTTACTGTGAATACAGAAAATAGTTCCAAAAGTCTCACTGCTATATTGATTAGAAATATCTTTGGGTTTGGAGGCTATGATTTGAGAAGTACAGGCTTAAAGATATTATAGGTGTCCTAAATCCTAAGGAATAAGGTCAATGCTCCTTCCTGTGATTTTCAAGCAATTGGTAAAATCACAATAAAAAGAGAACATATATTTTTCCAGATACCTTTAATCAAATTACATTATTATAACATCAATTTCATATAATAGAATTATACTTAATTATGTATTGCCAATAATGACGTGTACTAATAGTGAATGAATCTATTAATCATAGCTGTAATATCAAGATATCTAATCCAGACATCATATTTCTTTTAAGTAGTATCCAATTACCAATTTTTCCTACAAAGGTTGGAAAATGAAAGACATATTTCAATGTCAAAACTTTAAATTTGATATATAAGGCAGAGATCTTTAGGTTTTAGAAGACATGTATTATGCCTCTGTTATGCAGTGCTTTGACATTTTAGTTTTTTTAATGTAAACGTTTAAAATTATTTTTAACCATTTCTTAATTTTTAGTTTATAATGTTGTATTAATTTCGGGTATACAGCAAAGTGATTCAGTCATACATATATATTCCTTTTCAGACTGTTTCACATTATAGGTTATTTAAAGATACAGAAGACAGTTAGTTCCCTATGCTGTACAGTAGGTCCTTGTTGTTTATCTATCTTATATATAGCCATGTGTGTATACGCATTTTAAACTCTTAAATAGTTTTAGGGTAAAAAGGACAAATTAATAATAGTTTATGAGACAACCAAAAAATTTAAAAAACTCACTTAAAATGCAACTAAGTGTATTAATAACAGCTGAATATATACTATATATCATTTACCTTAGAGTTTAACTATGGGAAGAAAAAAGATAAACTAAGAATAAACACATAAAAAAGAATCCGGAGCCTACAAAAGGAAAAACAGGGGTGTTCTGACCTTAGAGTTTAACTATGGGAAGAAAAAAGATAAACTAAGAATAAACACATAAAAAAGAATCCGGAGCCTACAAAAGGAAAAACAGGGGTGTTCTGAAATACATTAGGAAAATATTTTCAAGTGGCACTGAACTGAACTTATTGGGTGCTATATACATGTACTTAATGCCATAGGTTAGGATTACTGAGACTTTAATGGAGTGTTGAATTTTCTATCCACAATTTATTTTACCAATCTCTGCTCCAGTTGATAGTAATAAAATCTTCCATGCTTAATGACATGCAGCATCACACTGTGAATAATGTTACTAAATACGATTACAGTTGAAAGTATTGCTTTATTCCTTCTCTGGGTGCATAGTTTCTTTATTGGGGGCTCCTATTTTCCTTCGGGATAATGGCTCAGACACTCTTTACAGTTTCTCTTTTCAACAACCTTCAGCTCATGTCCTATCCTGTAGAATGTAACCTGGTGAAGCATCACAGGCTCAATCTACCAGATCCCTTAAAATTGAGAGAAGCGGGTTCAACTCCCAATTTCTAATGTAATTCATCATTTGGTATTAGGTGGTCACTTCTTCTTTCTTGTTATATGTCTTCATCAATAAAATATTTTCAAATACTGTCATCATTCTCATGGTAAAAAAAAATAGCTGCGGTTGTTAGATTAATAATCAGATATTGATATGACTCACATTATTGCCTTATTAATGACACTGTTGTTCAGTGACAACCTTGACTCTAAAAAAGAAATGCACTGACCATTTTGTTAGCTGCCAAGAGTTTCCAAAGTGAGACAGGGCTTACCAGACACCTTTGAGTGTCTTTTCTCCCACCATCTTTAAGAAAATAATACCGTTTTTCAGCTGAGCACATGCTCCCCAGCCAATATATGGCATTTACCAACCTCTTTGAACAAGATTTGGTCTCATGAGATTTAAGCCAAAAGGTTGTGTGTGACTCTACTGTCTGGAATGCAAAATGGAAAGTGAGTAGTCAACTTGGAGTGAGTTGCAGAGGGGATGGAGTAGCAGTGGAATAAAAGGAGACTGGGGTCTTAACCATCACGATGCTGCCTTATGAGCCCAGGGTTACCTGCCTACAGGCCCCTTTTAGGTGAAAGGAATAAACGTGTCTGTTATATGCAGTCTAATTAATTATAACTGATAATATGTGGTAATATCTGTTATTCCCTGTTGCCTCCTCTCTAACAAGCCATGTGCTAATTTCACTTTATGGAAAGGGAATATGATTCGTCCAGTCTCACACAACCAGGAAGGGGCAAAAAGGGATTTAAAGCCAGGCTTAATAGCTCCAATTTGAGCTCATACACTTGATTCTCTCCAAAATCGCAACACGTTGAGATACAAAGGTAGACCCAAGCATTTTCATGTGCACTGTCTGCCGATAATTGCAGTATCTAAGGAAAGTAATCAGGCAGTGGCTCTACAAAGAGAAGTAAGTTGTGTCTCTCCTGACTCTTTTTTAGTCAATTTAAATTTCTTTCTACGTTTCCCTGACAAATATGTTTCAGGCATTTTAGTCCACAGGTGAGGTTCTCAAACGTGGTATTCTATCTAGAAGGGCTCTGAAGTGTTGATGAAACTGCTGACCATATAGGAGGCATTATGTGTGTATGAATATTCATAGGTTTCACTGCAAACTCAACAGGGACTATGATCCCAAATTTTTAATTCTGTTTTTTGAAAATTGAAATTGTGTTTGCCCGTTGCTAATGTTTTAGGATTTCTCACCTCTTCTAGGGTACTTCAAAGTTTATTAATGGAGAATGAATAATTCATCTTTAAATTCTCTCAGACAGTAGGAGATAGGTCACATTAGCCAAGATTAATACTAATTTAGAGAAGATAGGAATTTGGGGAATTTTCACATTTTTTGCCATTGAACAATCATTTTCACTTTAAAGAGATGTTTTTGGAGGGGTAATTACTCCCTGATAACCTTACATTTATTTTAATGTCAATAAAGTCTCTATATTAAAGTTTACATTGCATATTCCATTCTAAATTTCTGTTTAGAAATATATGTAATATATTCATATCACAGAAAATTTAGATTAGAAACTATTTAAACATAAAAGGAAAATAAAAAATATAGTTGTAAATCCTGACTTTTCACATACTATTTTATGATAAATACATTTTATCATAAAAGATTTATGCGTGGATATCAATAATATCACTGATTCAATGGACATGAGTTTGAAAAAATTCCAGAAGATAGTGAAGGACAGGGATGTTTGGCATGCTGCAGTCCATGGGGTTGAAAGAGCTCGACATTACTTAGCAACTGAACAACAGCAATCAATAGCACACATATATGTGTATATATACATGTGTAATTTCAACACTGGGACCAAGGCACATTGAAATGACACAGCAAAATCATAGGGGTGCCCCAGTGATGAACCTGTTTTTACAGAACTTTTATTCCTACTTATGATTAACATTTTTAATGGACACTTTACAGTTAAATTGCTCTCCAAAAAATTATTTTTAAAAAAAACTTATATGCCTCTCAGTGTATTATGAGAATATATATTTTTACCAGACCAATATTTTTAACCTTTAGTTATTTGGAAGGTAAAAAATATCCTTTTTATTTATGAACAATCTCTTTAAAATAGTCTGTATTTTTATTTATTTTATGAAATTTATATTTGAGAAAATAGAACTTGCCAAAGGAACTATCTATAGTCATGAATTTATAAATGATTTAATGTAGGATTTCTTAGGCAATGTTTTCTAATAAATATTAGGCAATCATGTACATAACAAACTGTATATTATCAAGAACAAGCAATTTATAATTACCAATAGAAAGATTATAACTTTAGTCTGGCTTTGTTAAATGGCTCTGATAACATAATAAATGGTCCTTTTCTTCAAATATATGCTACTTTGGTTCCAAGTTTTAAAAAATATTTTAATAACCCATTAACAATTTAAATTTTAATAAAATGACCTATATTAATAAATTCAGTTGTGAAGCTGTGTTTTCTTTGGAGAATAAAACGAAAATGGTATATGAAGGGATATAATTAACAATAATTCAACAAGACAGCATGAAACTGAAGCAGCCACCTGACGCATGACCAAGTACACATGCTCACGTTTACCTCATAGTCCAAATCCAGGTAGTCGAACTCCCCGTTGGTGCGGAAGTGCTGCGTGCTTCTGTCCAGGGTGAGGTTGATGCTCCGGCCCTGGCGCTCAATGGCCACAGAATGCCAGTGGTGGTCATCCAGCAGACTTCCTGTCATCACGGACGTGTGGCCGTATATGGGGCCAAGCTGGTTGCTTCCTGAATCACGTGAATGGAAAAGGAACCAGCTAAAGACACCAGAACTCTATGTCATCTACCATGCCACGGGCGGACGTTTTATGGCATCTCTGTCTATTGTAGTTTACATGGGACAACCATTATGGCATGATACTTAAAAACAGTTGCATATTCAAACTACATAAAAGCTATTAAAGATGGAAAAACCTCTGTTCCCTTAAAAACCACGAGCTTTATTATTTTTTTTCAATTACTGAGCCACGAATTCTGCTAAGTTTGGTATATTCCTTATGAAGTCAGTGCCCCGTGGACTCTGGAGTCAGAGTCCCTTGATTCTGATGCTGTTCCATCACTGGCTTGCTCCATGATCCTGGCCAAGGTGACCTCTCTCTGAGCCTCTCTTTGGTCATATGTAAAAAGGGAAAAATAATAGTACCTGCTTTTCAAAGTTGCTGTAAGGATTAAATTAATCTGTACAAGCAAAGAATTTATTTCCTGATATACAGTGAATGTTCATTAAAAGTTACCTGTTAATTTTTATTATTGTTGTTGTTATTATTATAATTGGTCAAGAAAATACAAGATGACAAATGTTTTCTGATTCCTAAAGCCATAATCTTAAGTACAACATAATATTTAATGTCATGGAAAATTTACTCAAGTTATACTTTAAAATAAAAATCTGCAAAATTACATATGTAGCATTAGCTCAGTTTTGAAATAAGATCTCCATAGCAACAGGACTATAAATAAGAGTGGAAGGTTGTGAGAGTCTGAAATATTTATTAAGGTCATCTCTGGATGCTGTTTACATATTTTATACCATTTTCCATTTTATCTAATCAAGCATTGCTTTTTATGGTCAGGCAAAACTAAATGCTATAAAATAAACTATTGCTTCATAATAAATAGCATAATAGAAAGAAAATAAACACATGATTGACTGAAGAATTATTTCCTTTTTTCACACTTATGATGCTAATATACCTATACCTGACATTTTCTATGGATCTCCTATATGAATTGTTTTTTTCCTTTTGGTGATGAAATCAAATGTTTCCCTGTGACTGTGATTGTGACTGTATATGTATGTAGGGATGGGAGAGGAATAAAGAAAAGAAAGAATAAATTTAAGTAAAATAATACATTCAGTTTTATTATATTAAATATTTAGACTAGAAAACTAAGCAGTAGCTAGATGTGCCTGTATTAAGGAAATAGCATTGAAAGTGAGAGTGGATATTTGAGTGGATGTGTTTCCATGGGCTGTCATAAATTTGTCAACAATACTCTACATAAACTGCTTTCCAATGACATGGTAATGATCTATTTGTGTGAGGCCATATGATCAGTTCTTGTTTCAGAAGAGTAACATCTCACTCTTACAAGGCCCAATGACTTTTAAAGGCTACTCTGTGTCTTTCACTTAAAAAAAAAAAAGGAGAAAAGTTTGAAAAAATAAATTGCCTTAGATATGATCCAATTTTATAAAGAATTAATATGTAAATCATTAATCACTCATTTCCACCACTAAAAATAGTGTGGTCGAGTTCCTCCAGACATTTTTTTAAAATTATATACATATAATCATATAATTAATATACATATAAAATATTGATTTAACATTTATAATTTGCATACTGTTTTAATTTAATGCTGTACAATATTCCCCAAGTTATTCACAGATATTTTAAACACATACCAATGTATTTCTATGCGTGAAGCTTTTTTCTTTCAATATTTGTTATTGTAACTAATATTGCAAAGTATATATTCTTGGACAGGATAGAAATTCTAGAGCTGTTTCTTATTATTTCTTTATGATTGCTGAATTGAAATATATAGAAAATAAAAATATCTGAAGATACATTATTAAATTTGTTTTCTTGAAATATTTTTAGGACAGTACAAAGAATCCTTTTTATTGCATAACACACCAATACAGATACTATCATTTTTAAAATTTATTTACTTGCTTGAAAAAATTGGAATCATTATTTTATTGTATATTTCTTTCATAGATAGTTTGATTGAGCATTTGGTGTTCATAGACTATAATTTTTCTGCAATGAGTTTTCCTTACATTTTTTGCCAATATTTTCTTGTAAAATCTTAGTACAGTTATAGAGTAGAATGAATTTTCATTCAAGAATGACATTAAACGTCTCTATTTGAATTTTCCTAGGTTTTGGCATGCATTTTCATTTTATGATTTTAATATAAAAATTTAAATATTTTTTGTATAATTTTAAAATCAGCTTTTTTGGATAGTTTTCTTGTTATGGAAACTATTTTTTCTATCAGATAAGATTTTGAATGTGAAATGTTTTATAACGAAGAATAATCTTTGTAGACACTATATTAATTATTATCAATTGAAAAAAACTAACTGAATTTGTATGTTTTAGTATACTACTGATTTTCAAAGTAATAAAAGTTAATATATGGGAAACAAGCCATATTTAAGAAAGTTAGAACCATGTTGATAAGAAAATCAAATAGGCAGGATCTCTTTGTGTTCTAATTTTCAGTTTTCTAGCTTTCCATTGGGATGCATTTAACATGCAAGTTTTAGTTATTGATATAATTTAGATCACAAAATCTTTATAGAATCCTAAAATCACTAAACATAAAATATGGAATATATGATGCCCTTCAAACAACTCTTGAATAAATTCTGAAAATGTTAGGCCAGCAAGAAGAGGATAGATATATTATTGATTTGCATAAATTGTAACTCCGAATGTCAGTATCTGTCTTGTGGACCTTCCCTTTAGTTTTAAGTAAATCTTAACTACATTATCAAAATACAAACATTTATTAGGCCTGTCCACTTAGAAACAACAACAGAAGCCCAAAACAAAATAGTAACTCCTTCTTTGAGTTTCATCTCATTCTCTAATCAGCATATTATTTCTCTGATTCCTTCATTTCTTGTTGATTATACTTAAAATATTCATTTGCACCCTTTTTATCTTTTCTTACCTGATGACAATAAACTACTGTTCTTTCTATTTTAGTGAGAGGAGATCAACAGTAACCACTATGTTGCCAGTGACCTCACTTTTCTGTTTTAAGTGACATTTTAAGTGACCTCCACACAGTAGACCATAGAGGACAGCCTCTTCTCCTTCCCTGGTGTCTGTGATGCCATATACTCATATTTTCTCCTATTCACTGTCTCTTCTCCTGAGGCTCCACGTAGCACCTTGTCCTGTCAATACCACACATGGACCTCCCTAATAGATGCTTAACTTTGATGACTAACAGGCCCCTAAAATGCACCATGTTCCAACAGATCTCTGCTGCTGCTGCTGCTGCTAAGTCGCTTCAGTCGTGTCCAACTCTGTGCGACCCCATAGATGGCAGCTCACCAGGCTCCACTGTCCCTGGGATTCTCCAGGCAAGAACACTGGAGTGGGTTGCCATTTCCTTCTCCAATCCAACAGATCTCTAGACTTCCTCTATTGGAAGGAATTAGTACTCCTCCGTTAGAAGAAACTGAAAACAAGGCTTTCTGTATTTCTAAAAATGGTACAAATGTCTATTTGGAACTCTAGGGTTATTCTTTATATGTTCCCTTTCTTTTTTACTCCATACTCAATTAATTACAAACCATACTAACTTTACAACCAAAACCATCTCCCAAGTGACTCTCTTTTTCTTTATCTCCCTGGAAAGCCACCTTCTGCAAGCAGTGGCCATATCTCAGTTACACCAGGAAGAAGTCCAGCTTTGACTCTCATGTTCATGCAAGCATTTTCTCTTACAGAAGTCTCAGTACATTTCTAAAAATAAGATCATGAGGCCATATAGTTTAAAGTCTATCAACAGCTTCCCATTCTTAAAATAACATCTAATTTCATCTCCTATCCTATGAATACCTACACTAGCCTCCTCATCCTGTTCCTTGGGCAGGATGACCTGTTCCGGGTCTTAGTCTCTCATGAATCTTTCTCAACTGCTTTGTCCCAGATATTTTCAGGGCTTGTTTTTGTCATCACTGAAACTTCATCAGGAATATCTTCTTGGAGAGGACTTTCCTCACTACATATTCTAATATTTACCCCTCTTGCCTATATGGTATCCTTTATCATATCAACCTTATTTAGTTGATTTCATACTACTCATCACTATTTGAGGTCATTTCTTCTGATTTAGTTCTTTTAAAATAATAGATTATGCAGTGTCTAGCTGTATCCCAGATGCTAGTATGGTACCTGCATAGAACAGGTGTTTAATACACATTTATGAATGAGTATGTATATAAATATATATCAAACACTATGAATTAAAAATGAATTGACAACATAATGTGAACTCTGTATAATTTACATTTTAAGGATTAAAGACCACTAGCATTTAACTAACAGAGATACCAATAAATGGAAGGTGTCAAAAGTCAGAACATACCTAGGTTTAAACTGAAGACCAGCTTGGCTTTTTTGAGTTCCAAAGTAATATAATCCCCTTGCTGTCCTTCCCCGTGCAAGATTACCCCTTCACTTTCAGAGGTTTTAAATTTCAAGGCAATGACATCTTTCAGTGTTTTCATCTTCTTGTTTCTGAATCTATATGGTAACACAACATGGCCATCGAAGTTGATAACATCAGCCCCTAAAAGAAGAAATAAATAACATTTTAGTTTTGCTATTGTATGTTGACCTTCAGTGTGAAGTATATCTTCTTCCAATCAGTGTCCCCACTGAATAAATGACAAAAAAGGTTTTTTTTTTTGAAAACTCTTTAGTCCTGGGTTCTCCTTCCCTTTCTATTTTTGTTTTATTCTGTGTCCCAAAGTGGATTGTATGGAAGGGACTTGTAAAGAATGATGATAGAAAACCCTTAACAATTTAAAATTCTTTCTTCAACTGTAATACTAATAACAAGTTCCATCAATGACTTATATGCTTCAAAATTTTGACTTAGAAATTTGGAGTTTACCTGAAAATGTAAAAATGTTAATCCCTGAGATAGTATGAGATTTTAATATTTTCCTTCTTAAACGAGGCTAAGTGTTCATGATTTTAAATACAGATTTTGCCAACAAATTTTATTTTCTATGACATAATAATAAAGGATCTTAGAAGGCAGAGTTTGTGGTATACTCATTTTCTAATTTTTTTAATATATTCTACAATTTCAGTAAACTTAGTGCTAGTACCTAGAGTTTATAGTGAATTGAACTTTAACTTGCTTTATCCCTTACTCTTAGGGTTCATGTCTGTTTCAAATTCCTTATTAACTCCTTGCCTTTCCAATAGAGAAGTGTGTTGCCCATGTTATCAACTACTCTGAAAAAAGACAGTCTCACCCATATATGATTAGAAGAACCCAAATCTAATCTATGCTATGAGTAGTTGTAGTTTGATCTTAGGGAATTTCATTGAAACATGAAATTATATAAACTTTTACAAAGTATGAACAACTTTTTCCCACCCTCAGAAACAGAGGATGGTGGTCAATAGTATAGTAACTGTTTCTTATTCACACCAGAAATAGAAAATGAAATGATCTCATTTATTATGCACTGTTGGTTCATGCGTGGCCAACCCACAGAATTGGTCAGTGATGAACTGTAATCATTCAGATCAAATTTTAAGTACAAATAGAATCTTAGTCACCCTAAACAGATCTTTTTTCAATAAAAATACTTTTAGGTTTTAGTATTAAGTTCTAGAAAACAGAGTCACATTGGGTCTAAAAATGATGATGGTGTGTGTGTTCAGTTGTGTCCAGCTTTTTCTGACAACATGGACAGCAGCCCGCCAGGCTCCTCTGGCCCTTTCCAGGCAAGAATGCTGGTGGAGCAGGTTGCCGTGTCCTCCTCCAGTGGATCTTCCCAACCCAGGGATCAAATCCGTGCCTCTTGGTCAAACCTAGTCACATTGGAAATCTCAGTTCAGTTCAGTTGTGTCCAACTCTTTGTGACCCCATAAATCGCAGCACGCCAGGCCTCCCTGTCCATCACCAGCTCCCGGAGTTTACTCAAACCCATGTCCATCGAGTCAGTGATGCCATCCAGCCATCTCATCCTCTGTTGTCCCCTTCTCCTCCTGCCCCCAGTCCCTCTCAGCATCAGGGTCTTTTCCAATGAGTCAACTCTTCATATTCAATAGCTCTAATTATCTCAGGATTATAAGCCAGGATGAAGCCTGACTCTAGTTTGGGGTAAGATTGCGCCAAAGAACCCAAAGAGAAACATTGGAGGAAAAGTAACAGCAAGTTGAAAACCTGACATAAATATCTTCTCATCACACATCCTAGTTCTCTTGTTAGCTTCAATCATCCTGGGGGATATTTTGGATCCTGGTAACAGTAACAAGAGCTTGCTACATCATGGTGGTGAAGGTGCAGAGGTATATTCACTCTCTTTTCTGTGCAGTATTTGCCAGTTTAAGTTTTGCTCTTAACTAATGCTATAAAGTGAATTGTCATGAATACACTTATTTCAAATATTGCTTAAAAGTATCTTTAAGTTTATCCTTCAAATCAATAGACTTTGAATATTTTAAAAATATATCATGTTAGCAAAAACATTTATGTCTTTAAGTGACAGTTCAGAGAATCATTGCATTCTACAAAGTTCACAAGGAAAAACATAACTTTGAACTTTGTTTTAATTCTCACAGTCAATTATTTACTATAAGACTATATACAGTCATAAAAAGACTTTCTTAATCAACGAAATTCTGTTCTGAGACTGTGAATCACAGAGGTTTATTTTACTATGGAGGAAAAAAAGCAGACATTAAATTTTGGCTTCTGCTAACACTGCAAAGCCAATTAGATTTTAGCTTAATCATCTATACTGTCACAGCTGAATTCCAATTGCACTATCTTTATCATCTGTGATGAGAGATAAAACAGAGAAAAAGTGGAATCTGATGATCAGATCCCAGGTTGAATTTATAATTCAGCAGTTGGCAGAAATTGCTTTTTGTCTTGCAAAGTGCATAAACAAAAAAGTCAGAAGGAGGGAGTAAATTCTAAATCCCAGAAAGTAATTCTGCAGTCAGTTTCATATCAGTGACAGTTGAGTAACAGACACATCATCATTTTATATACCTCCAATATATATTAATTGACAACAAACATTCCCCATTCATCTCTTAGGAAGTAAATGTTCCCAGAACTTAGACAGAGAAAGGAATTCACCCCTCCTACGTTTTCTCCTAACTCGAAATCTACATTCAGTTTTGGGCACAGAATAGTGATTTATACAAATGTTGATGCCTTTCTTCCTTAGTTTTATGCAAATGAAAAAGTGACAGGAAGGACAAGCATGGTTTCTTTCTTCAGACAGTCCTAGGATATTAATGAAAACATGAAGACATGTTATTCATGAGGATCAAGTCTCATTTTACAGGAGGTCAGTGGTCAGCTGAAAAACTCCTAGTGCTCTGAGCCAGGTCTCTCACCTTACCACATCCAAGCTGTTCTTCCAGGAATGGGTTAAATGCTTGCACAAGGTTAGCGCATGGATGTGAACTCAGAGTTGGCTTTGAAACTACAAATTCCTAGAAGTAATCTATGGTATATAATTTATACATAAACATACACCATACACTTTTAAGAGACTCTGAGATACTGTAAAAGTCTATCAGAGTTTAGTTCTTTTTTCTACAACATACATTACAATTTCATTTGACAGCTAATAATACATTGTGTTTATTCTGGGACAAGCCACATTTCCCCCCCTATTTCCCTGATTGCTTTCCACTCCTTAGAATAAAGTTTTCTCTGCTGTGATTAAATGTGTGGTTGAGCTGTTTAAGCAATCTGAACTACAATATGGCTAGTCAAAAAGGGAATGCAAAATCAGAGTGCATCCATGATTTTGTTTCTAACAATAACTCAGAGAGGCTGGAGTGTGCCCAAGTCATCAAATCATCATAGTAGAGAAGCTTTTTCTTTGTTATTCCATTGTTACTTACCCTTTAGTTTCTCTGAGTTTGTAGACACTCAGATGAGATATTTTGGAAAGGTTTTTTTCATCTAAAGATTTTACAATTTTAAAAAATGCCCTTGCTAATTTTTACTACAATGTAATATATGTTTATTGTTAAAAAGAAATTAAACAATATTCTTAAACAATAAGAAATTAAACAATACATTTCCACAGAATGTAGAAAGTGAATCCCCAAAACAAGAGATCAGCAGTGTTAACTGGGTAACAGTTTGGTGCATCTTTCTAGATTTTATCTATCTCTCTTTCTATCTTATGTATGAAATGATCTATCCTGGGTAACAGTTTGGTGCATCTTTCTAGATTTTATCTATCTCTCTTTCTATCTTATGTATGAAATGATCTATATATTATTCCATATACAAGTGTGTGTGTGTGTGTGTGTGTGTGTGTGTGTGTGTGTGTGTGTGTGTATTTAGAGAGAGGGCGGGGAAGGGAAAGAGAAAGGAGAATGTAGTTTCATTTAATTATGGTTCGAAATGTGTTTCTGGCAATGTGGAAACCTGAACGTTTTAGTAAATTAATATATTTTAATGATCTTTATGCAGCAAGGTACTTACAATAAAGAAAGAATGTATGTAATTTGAAACATAATTTATTTTATTTATTTGAAAAAATTAAAATGTATTTGTATACAGCACCATAAAATAAACAAATAAATACTTAGGAAATACTTTTGTTTTCCTGTTTTCTCTTAAATATTTCCTTATAGAAAGCTGAGAATAATAGGAATGTTTAAACAAGAAAAATAAAAGGACAATACTATTTTCATGAAATAACCACTTACATTTCTTATTATTTTAATGTGTATATGTGCAATTTGGACAAGGAAATGGCAACCCACTCCAGTATTCTTGCCTGGAAAATCCCATAGACAGAGGAGCTTGGTGGGTGACAATTAGATACACAGAAGGATCATAGTTCATATAGTTTTGTTAATGAACACTATGTTTTTGGGTTTTTTTTAATCTCATTGTTTTCTTCCAAATCAGGATTTTAATTAGCTAAAAGTATACGATCATTTGGATGTCTGATTTCTTCAGTGAGAATCTGTTTTACAGTTTTCTTTTTAATACACTTTTTATTTTAGAATAATTTTTGATTTAAAGAAAAGTTGCAAAGATACAGTGATGAGTTCCTACACACTCTCCACCCAACTTCCTCTAACATTAACATTTTATATAACTGAGTACATTTGTGAAGTCTAAGACATAACTTGGTTGTTGTGGTTTAGTCACTAAGTCATATCTGACACTTTGGTGACCCCATGGACTGTAGCCTACCAGGCTCCTCTGTTCACCAGATTGCCCAGGCAAGAATACTGGAGTGGGTTGCCATTTCCTTCTCAAGGGGATCTTCCTGACTCAGGCACCAAACCCACATCTCCTGCATCACAGGTGGATTCTTTATGACTCAGTCACTGGAGAAGCCCCTAGACATAAGCTAGGTATATCATTATTCACTGAAATATAGACTATATTTGGATTTCGCCAGTTGTCACAAATTTGTTTGCTTGCTTTTCCTATTCTAAGATCCAGTCCAGGATCTCACATTTCATTTTTGATATCATCAAAAGTAGTGTCTGACTCTTTGCAACCCCATGGACTGCAGCACACCAGGCTTTCTTGTCCTTCACTATCTCCCGGAG